ACTAGGGGAAGTAAGCAAAAGCTATAATAATTCTCTCCCTTTCAACAAATGTGTTGAATTCTAATAAAGGTGGGAAAATGATATCAATAGGTGGATATGAGACCAGATCTTTTCATAGAAACTTTGAGGTTGTCAAGTATTAACAAATGGCGAAACATTTGTCGCTGACAGTCGTCAGTTATAATTAATCTCTGGTGATAAGACATGATGGCGGCAAACTGGACAACCCATAGCACAATGGTGGTAGCTGTGTACATAAGTAGGGAGGTGGGCGGGGGATGGATGGTGGGGGACTGTCCACGGGGAAACCACCTCTCTCTACCCCCCTCCCTGTGGGGACCGGACGGAGAGAAGAGAGGGGACTGACCACTGACCAGGGCACTGTGGTGGGGGGTGAGTCGGACCAACAGGGGGCGCAAAGTGGAGGAGGCTGGGGTCGGGGGTAGAGCTGAGATTGGGAGAAGTGGAGGGGAGGAAGATTATGTCGGAGGGCTTGGATTGGAAAGGGGGGACATGAGAGACAGGAAAAAATAGAAAAAGAGAGAGAGATTGGTGGGGAAAAAAGGAAGATATGGATACAGAATAAGAGAGAGAAAGAGAAAGAGAGGTTGGAGAGAAAGAGAGAGAGCGAAAGAGAAAGAGAGAGAAACAGGGGGGCGAAAGAGAAAGAGAGAGAGAAAGAGAAAGAGAGGGGGGATAGAGAGACTGAAGGAGACTTGAAACTCTATAACAGGATGTCGAAAAAAGAGGCCCCACTTAAAGTGCATAACAAAAACCAACTTTCGGGTACGATAAATATCAACTTCGTTAAATTGGAACCAAAAATTGCTACATGCAAAAACTATACTTCATAAAAATCACCCAGAATGTGTTTCTTGAGTATTGAAGGGCATCTTTTTTTTAAAATTACAATGCCAATACAAACAAGGTGGGGACTACTCAAGTCATACGTAATTCTCCAAGTGTTCATTATTTCTGTACAGACAAGCTAAGATACGATGGTGAGAATTTTGGATAACCCTGTAGCATGTTTCATGGTGATTGGTTGTTGTTGTTTTTTCTTCGTTTGTTTGTTTTTTTGGTTGTTGTTTATTTGTTTTGTTTTATTTTGTTTTGGTTTTTTTCTATTCAACATTGAGATTGTTATAAAAATTCATGAGTTGTATTCGAAGATTGTCTTTCAAAATCCCTCAAAGGAAAATACCCCACTTTTAATGAGTCACCTTTTTTGTACAAACTATTTATGCCTATGTCAGTTAAAAATAAATTGTGTGGTATCGTGATCAAATAGGGCACTCGTCAAAATGATGAAATCGAAGAACTGGCATTTCCGCTAGTTGGATTGTTTTCATTAACCCCCATCTCCTTCACTCGCAAATATCTCGACATCTATTGAAGATAGATGGGTTGTTGATTTTTTTTTTCATCAGAATCAAGACGAATAAACAGCCTTTAAGATTAAACAAATAACAATATGCCTAAAAACTGATGAGCGCCTGATTACATAAAGTCCAGACACATAATTTATTCTTTAAATTACACATTGAGCTATTGTTAATTTTTTTAGAAAACTTGTGCAAGTTTTGTGTTTTATTCAATTTTACTTTGAAAATTTTCAAAGTTGACACTTTTTGAATACATTGATTGATTTTCTTCACACTTAAAAATGTGAAGTCCTCTTTGTTGAATTTTATTTCTTCAATTTTTTGTTGAAACAGGTGCAAAGATGACAGGGTTATTGCCCTATACATGAGTCTTCTTTCCTTTCAGTCACCAGGAACTAAAGACACTTGATCTAGTCTATTTTCTTTGTTTGCACTTTTGCTCTACGCGGAGACTGTGTAGTGTAACCTGCCATGTAAGATAAGAACAAAATGGTCTAGCTAGTACAAACTTTGCACTTGTTTTCTGAATAATGTGTTTCTTTTTTCACTGAGTCGGGAATTAACATTGGGGGTGCTCTATGCTTTTTAGTTTCCACTTAGGCAGTCA